GTAGTTTTAGTAGAGACGGGGTTTCACCATGTTGACCAGGATGGTCTCGATCTCTTGACCTCGTGATCCACCCGCCTCGGCCTCCCAAAGTGCTGAGATTACAGGCGTGAGCCACCAAGCCCGGCCCTGATCTCTTTCTTAGTAGGTCCAGGTAAGCAGGGGTAGGGTTTCTATTCACTTTATCAGCACTGTCATCAGCTGTATTTTTATGGAAATCCTGGTGAAAGGATTTGTGTGCTGGTGAGAGGACAGTGCTTCCCAGAAAAGCGAAGGTGTCTTCTTCAGCTGCTTTGCAGGTGGGCTGCCTGTTACATCCTTGGCACCATCGAAAAATCTTTTTGAATTTTTGGTTTGCACACTGTCGGCAGTTAATAGTGCATCTTCAGGGTCCTGATTTTTCCCATGGCTCTTGGCTTTGGCAGCAACATCCGCTTGTTTTTCCTTGTGGTGTCTCTCCAAGTGATACCTCAGAGATGTCTTCTGGGCTGCAGCGTAGTCACAAAATTCACATTTGTATGATTCTTCACCTGTATGCGTTCTGAGATGAATATTGAGGTAATAATTTGAACGGAAAAACTTTCCACAATAACTACACTCTCTTGAAGATGTAAGATGGTTTATTTTTCCTCCATCATCATTTTTATCCAGATGGATTCCTTCGGGAAACCCATCCTCAGATCCATCTTCAGAACAGCCTTCCCCTCGACCCACAGCTCCATTTTCATCCACTGGGGTGGCGAGGTCAGGAGAGCATGTCCCTGGCTGCCTCCCGTCCACGGACATGGTGGGCCACTTGGCACCGGCCCTCCGCTCCTTCTTGTGGACCTTGGAGTGCAAGACCAGCTGGTGGTAGGTTCTGAAAGCTTTGCCACATTCGGAGCAGTGGGTGGGCTTCTCTTTGCTGCTGGGTATCTTGAAATCCACATCCACAGAAGGCACCTCCCTGTTGGAGGGTCTACACGTCTCTTTATCTTGCAAAAAGCCTGTACAACTGCCCTTACTTGTTTTGGCCTTTCCAGAACCTTCCGAGTTGCTCTTATTGGTGCCCCAAATTTCTCCAACCTCCTTTTAGGAACTCGACTCATCATTGTTGGTGCTTCCTTCCTGCCCCAATTCCTTCACTTCTTCTTGGCAAATGGCCACTTTTCCCTTGGTAGCCAGCTGCCAAGCCTGGAAGGTGGTGAACGGATCGAGCTGAGATACGCAGTTGACAAGCTTCTTCCCGGTTACCGGGCGAGATTTTGGTCTTAAGTTTAAAAACTGCAGAAACTCTTGCCTCGAAGATGACATTCCCTCTGGCGGAGAGTCAGTCTGTGTGCTGCTGGGACCGGAAGCAGGTTTTTTGCTGTGCACCTTGTTGTGCTCAATTAGAGTTGCTTCATTTGGAAATAGGAAGCCACAAACCATGCAGATTTTGTAAGGATAGGAGATCCTCTTGGCCGCATGGTCCTGGACAACCTCGCTGATGGCTGCTGGACTCTCCAAGCCTTGCTGCAGTTTGCTCCTGGCCCCCAGTTTGCCCTTGTGTGTCTGCATATGGCTTTTAAGAAACCAAGCCCCCTTGAATCTTCTGCCACACATGCTACACCCGTAAGTGAAAGAATCCTTGTGTCCTCATGTGGATCTCAACATCAAAAGCGACACTGAATGTCTGTCCACACACATCACAGCTGAATTCTTCATTTTCCTTGCAATTCTTTTCCTTGGGAGGTTCTGCCCACACTTGACTTTGATCAAGAGGACTAAGATACTCTGCTTCAACCTGAAGAATGGCTGGTTCACATTAAGACATGTTTATTAAGGTCTTCTGAATGTGTGAAGGTCTGGCTGCAGAACATGCAATCCAAGGCCATGTGCCCCTCTATTTGGATGACATTTCTTTCTTGCGTCGCTCTGAATGGAACAACAGTGGCCCCTTTCATTGACAAGGCATCACCCATCTCCATTTGGCTGTGAAGAGAGCTGCCAATCACTTCTGGCCAATCCATGTACATCAAGAGGGATTGAGTTGGCATGCTTCCTGCCACTTTCGATTACATATAAGATAATCTCAAAGTTCCGTTGGAGAATCTCTGGAGTTGGAATAAGGCCACTTGTAAGACTTGTCACTCACCCCTCCAACAACCCTGGGCTTCAGAAGTAGAGCAAATATTTATTATAAAAGTTCAAAAGAAAATGTATAGTCCTATTAACTTCAGAACTTTTAGGAAGCTCACTGGTGGTGTCACTGGTTCTTTCCACAAACAAGACATGCAGACTCCCCAATGCTTTGATTCAAATATGAATCAGCACAAAGCATTAGTTCTCTTTGTCTCCATTGAATGAATGTTTCAATTGAGCAAGAAGTCAATCTCAGCAACCTAGAGACAATGGATTTCCAAACCCTGTGGCTCCGGCTCCTCGGCCATTTCCTCGCGCGGCGGCGGCCAGGGCTGAGCTGACACCACTGAGGCCAGCCGGGTTTTCGAGTTTCTTAATCCTGAGTTCTAATTTGATTGCACTGTGGTGTGAGAGACTATTTGTTATGATTTCAGTTCTTTTGCATTTACTGAGGAGTGTTTTACTTCCAATTATGTGGTTGATTTTAGAATAAGTGCCATGTGACACTGTGAAGAATGTACATTCTGTTGATTTGGGGTAGAGAGTTCTGTAGATGTCTACAAGGTCCACTTGATCCAGAGCTGAGTTAAATCCTTGTTAATTTCTAACAGTGGAGTGTTCCTAAAGCTGAATATCCTTGCTAATTTCTAACAGTGGGGTGTTAAAGTCTCCCATTATTATCGTGTGGAGTCTAAGGCCCTTTGTAAGTCTCTAAGAACTTGTTTTGTGAATCTGGGTGCTCCTATATTGGGCACGTATGTATTTAGAATAGTTAGTTCTTGTTGAATTGTTCTCTTTACCATTATGTAATGCCCTTCTTTGCCTTTTGTGATCTTTGTTGGTTTAATGTCTGTTTGGTCAGAGACTATGATTGCAACCCTTGCTTTTTCTTTTTTTTTTTTTTTGCTTTCCATTTGCTTGTTTAATTTTCCTCCATCCCTTTATTTTGAGCCTGTGTGTGTCTTTGCACGTAAGATGGGTCTCCTAAATACGGCACACTGATCCTTATCTAATTTTGTCTGTGTCTTTTAATTGGGGCATTTAGCCCATTTACATTTAAGGTTAATATTATTATGTGTGAATTTGATCCTGTCATCATGATGCTAGCTGGTTATTTTGCATACTACTTGATGCAGGTTCCTCATAGTGTCACTGGTCTTTATATTTTAGTGTTTTTCACAGTGACTGTTACCAGTTTTTTCCTTTCCATATTTAGTGCATCTTTCAGGAACTCTTGCAGTGCAGGCCTGTTGGTAATAAAATCCCTCTGCATTTGCTTGTCTGTAAAAGATTTTATTTCTCCTTTGCTTGTGAAGCTTAGTTTGGCTGGACGTGAAATTCTGGGTTGAAAATTCTTTTCTTTAAGAATGTTGATTATTGGCCCCCAGTCTTTTCTGGCTTGTAGAGTTTCTGCAGAAAGAGCTGTTGTTAGTCTGATGGGCTTCTGTTTGTAGGTGACCTGGCCTTTCTCTCTGGCTGCCCTTAACAGTTTTTCCTTCATTTTGACCTTGGAGAATCTGATGATTACGTGTCTTGTGGTTGATCTTCTTATGGATCCATCTTTGTTCTCTGTAGTTTTTGAATACACATATTGGCTTATTTTGCTAGGTTGGGGAAGTTCTCTTGGATAATGTCCTGAAGTGTGTTTTGCAGTTTGTTTCCAGTTTCCTTGCATCCTTAAAAATGAAGTTTCTTGTAAACAGCATATAGCTTGATTTTTATTTTTTTTAATTCATGCATTCACATGATGTCTTTTTATTGGTGAATTTAATCCATTTCCAGTCAAGGTAATTGTAGATAGGTAAAAACTTTCTGCTGCCATTTTGTTAATTATTTTCTGGCTGTTTTGTACACACAGTTTTTTCCATTCTTGCCATCTTCCTTTATGACTTAATGATTTTCTATTTCCTATGGTGGTATATTTTGAATCTTTTATTTTTCTTTTGAATATCATGATACTTACATAGAATATCTTACATTTGTAACAGCCTATTTCAAACTTGTAACAGCTTAATTCTGATTGCTTATAACTCTACACTTTATTCCCCCTTCAATTTTATGTTTTCAATGCCAAAATTTACATTATCTTGTAATGTGTATTCCTTGACTATTTTAGCTATCATCATTTTGTTTTTATTGCATTTTAGGTTTTGGCGTACATGTAAAGAACATGCAAGATGGTTACATAAGTACACACGTGGCAGTGTGATTTGCTGCCTTCCTCCCCTTCACCTATATCTGGCATTTCTCCCCATGGTGTCCCCCCCCAACTACCCATCCCCTGCTGTCCCTCCCCTATTTCCCCCCAACAGACCCCAGTGTGTAGTGCTCCCCTCCCTGTGTCCATGTGTTCTAATATTCAACACCCGTCTATGAGTGAGGACATGTGCTGTTTGATTTTCTGCTCTTGTGTCAGTTTGCTGAGAATGATGGTTTCCAGGTTCATCCATGTCCCTACAAAGGGCACAAACCCATCGCTTTTGATAGCTGCGTTATTCCATGGCGTATATGTGCCACATTTTCTCTGTGCAGTCTACCATCAATGGGCATTTGGGCTGGTTCCAGGTCTTTGCTATTGTAAACAGTGCTGCAATGAACATTTGTGTGCATGTGTCCTTATAGCAGAACGATTTATAGTCCTATGGATATATACCCAGTAATGGGATTGCTGGGTCAAATGGAATTTCTATTTCTAGGTCCTTGAGGAATGGCCACACTGTCTTCCACAATGGTTGAACTAATTTACACTCCCATCAACGTGTAAAAGTGTTCCTATTTCTCCACATCATCTCCAGCATCTGTTGTCTCCAGGTTTTTTAATGGTTGCCATTCTAACTGACGTGAGATGGTATCTCAATGTAGCTTTGATTTGCATTTCTCTGATGACCAGTGATGATGAGCATTTTTTCATGTTTTTGGCCACATGTTTTTCTTTTGTAAAGTATCTGTTCATATCCTTTGCCCACTTTGCCCACTTTTGAATGGGCTTGTTTGTTTTTTTCTTGTAAATCTGTTTTAGTTCTTTGTAAATTCTGGATATCAGCCCTTTGTCAGATGGGTAAACAGCAAAAATGTTTTTCCCATTCTGTTGGTTGCCAATTCACTGTAATGACTGTTTCTTTTGCTGTGCAGAAGCTGTGGAGTTTGATTAGGACCAATTTGTCTATTTTGGCTTTTGTTGCCAATGCTTTTGGTGTTTTGGTCATGAAGTCGTTGCCTACGCCTATGTTCTGAATGGTTTTCCTAGATTTTCTTCTAGGGTTTTTATGGTGTTAGGTCTTATGTTTAAGTCTTTAATCCATCTGGAGTTAATTTCAGTGTAAGGTGTCAGGAAGGGGTCCAGTTTTTGCTTTGTGCACATGGCTAGCCAGTTTTCCCAACACCATTTATTAAACAGGGAATTATTTCCCCATTGCTTGTTTTTGTCAGGTTTGTCAAAGATCGGATGGTTGTAGATATGTTGTGTCGCCTCCGAGGCCTCTGTTCTGTTCCATTGGTCTATATCTCTGTTTTGGTACCAGTATCATGCATTTTGATTACTGTAGCCTTGTAGTATAGTTTGAAGTACGGTAGTGTGATGCCCCCCGCTTTGTTCTTTTTGCTTAGAATTGACTTGGCTATGCGGGCCCTCTTTTGGTTCCATATGAAGTTTAAGGTGCTTTTTTCCAGTTCTGTGAATAAGGTCATTGGTAGCTTGATGGGGATAGCATTGAATCTGAAAATTACTTTGGGCAGTATGGCCATTTTCACGATATTGATTCTTCCTAACCATGAACATGGAATGTTTCTCCATCTGTTTGTGTCCTCTCTTATTTCATTGAGCAGTAGTTTGCAGTTCCTGTTGAAGAGGTCCTTTACTTTCCTTGTTGGTTGTATTCCTAGGTATTTTATTCTCTTTGTAGCAATTGGGAATGGCAGTTTATTCTTGATTTGGCTCTCTTTAAGTCTCTTATTGGTGTATAGGAATGTTTGCAATTTTTGCACATTGATTTTGTATCCTGAGACTTTGCTGAAGTTGCTTATCAGTTTCAGGAGATTTTGGGCTGTGATGATGGGGTCTTCTAGATATACAATCATGTCATCTGCAAATAGAAACAATTTGACTTCCTCTTTTCCTATTTGAATACCCTTTATTTCTTTTTCTTGCCTGATTGTTCTGGCTAGAACTTTCAATACTATGTTTAATAGGAGTGGTGAGAGAGGGCATCCTTGTCTAGTGCCAGATTTCAAAGGGAATGCTTCCAGTTTTTGCCCATTCAGTATGATATTGGCTGTTGGTTTCTTATAAATAGCTTTTATTATTTTGAGATACGTTCCATCAATACCTAGTTTATTGAGGGTTTTCAGCATAAAGGCTGTTGAATTTTGTCAAAGGCCTTCTCTGCATCAGTTGAGATAATCACGTGGTTTTTGTTTTTGGTTCTGTTTTTGTGGTGAATTACGTTTATAGACTTGCGTATGTTGAACCAACCTTGCATCCCCGGGATGAATCCTACTTGATCATGGTGTATAAGCTTTTTGATGTGCTGTTGCAATCCAGTATTTTATTGAAGATTTTTGCATCTGTGTTCATCATGGATATTGGCCTGAAGTTTTCATTTCTTGTTTAGTCTTTGCTGGGTTTTGGTATCAGGATGATGTTGGTCTCATAAAATGATTTGGGAAGGATTCCCTCTTTTTGGATTATTTGGAATAGTTTCAGAAGGAATGGCACCAGCTCCTCTTTGTATGTCTGGTAAAATTTAGCTGTGAACCCATCTGGACCTGGGCTTTTTTTGGGTGGTAAGCTCTTAATTGCTGCCTCAACTTCAGATCTTGTTATCGGTCTATTCAGGGTTTTGGCTTCTTCCTGGTTTAGGCTTGGGAGGAGGCAAGTGTCCAGGAATTTATCCATTTCTTCCAGGTTTATTAGTTTGTGTGCATAGAGTTGTTTGTAATA